GAAGCCCGATGTGGGACTCGATCCCGGGACTCCAGGATCATGACCTGAGCCGAAGGCAGTTGCTTAACCAACTGAGCCACCCAGGCGCCCCAACTTGTGTATTTTTTTATTATACCACAGTAGTACACCATATAAATAAAATAAAGGACAAAAACTCCATGGTCATTCACATTGCAGAAAAAGCACTTGACAAAATCCAACACCATGCTTAAACAAAAACTAAGCACCTTTCATTAAAGTAGGAATAGAGAGGTTCTTCAACCAAGTAAGAGGCATCAACGGAACAATCCACAGCTAACATCATGCTTACTGCTGAAAGATTGGATGCTCTTTTCCTAACATCAGGATCAAGGCAAAATGTACATTTTTGCCATTTCTGCAATAAGACAAAAAAAAAAGACATCTAGGTTTCAAAGAAAACTGTCAATCACAGATAACATAATCTTATACGTAAATAATCCCAAGAATACACACACAAATAAACCTACTAGAACTAATGTATTTATTTTATTTATTTATTTTTAAAGATTTTATTTATTTGACAGAGAGATACAGTGACAGAGGGAACACAAGCAGGGGGGAGGGGAATAGGCCGCCCACTGAGCAGGGAGCCTGACGCAGGGCTCGATCCCAGGACCCTGGGAACGTGACCTGAGCCGAAGGCAGCTGCCCAACGACCGAGCCACTGAGGCACCCCAGAACTAATGTATTTAGTAAGGTCGAGATACAAAATCACTATACAGAAACCAATTGTATTTTATATACTAATACTGGACAATCTGCAGATGAAACTAATACAATTTCATTCCCAATAGCATCAAAACGAATAAAATTGTAATAAATTTAACAAAAAAAATGCAATCCTTATTTGCTGAAAACTACTAAGCATTGCTGAGTGAAATTAAAGATATAAATAAACAGAAAATCTCCATGTTCGTGGGTTGGAAGATTCAGTCTCATTCAAGAAGTCAACTCTTGCCACATTGATCTATAAATTCAATGTGATCACTCTCAAAATCCCAGCTGGACATTTTTTATAGAAACCAACACGTTGACTTTAAGATTTGTAGGGAAATACAAAGAACCTGGAATTGGCAAAACAATTTTGAAAAAAAGAACAAATAGGAGGTACTTTTGCTTTTTTATTGCAGACTTACTCTTGAAGAAAGTGTTATCAAGACAGCAGTGTTGGCATAAGGATGGCTCCGTATAAAATAATTGAGAATCCAAAAATCCTTATATTTATGGTCAATTGACAAAGGTACCAAGACAATTCGAGTGGGGGAAGGATAGTCTTTTTCACAGGTGGCACTGGGACACTCAGACAGCCAG